CAGAGATGTTCAGAGTGGATTGCAAAAGCCACCTATAATTGGTGCTTGGGGCAGTCACATTCGACAGAATGATTCAGTTGGCTTAGAAGTTAAGGGGTGAAGAAAGGTTTACACCACTTAGGCTAATTCAAAGACAGACACAGTGTCAATTTCAGACAAAGCATACAGTGAAGCAAGGAAAATGGCCAGGGGCATTACCTAGTGATTTAAGAGATCAATCCTCCAAAAGGATATGCCCCTAGCAGCACAGTGTCAAGTATGGGAGGCAAAATCTGAAAGTCGTCCAAGGAGAAATCCACCAGGGAAGTGAGAGATTTCAACACGCCTCTATCAATAATCAGCAAATCAAGCAGACAGCTGACTAGAAAAGATACACAAATCTGAACAGCAGTGTCAGCCAACTGGATCTCGTTGTACAGAATACTCCATCCAACACCTGTGGGATTGAAATCCTCTCAAGCTCATGTGGAGCATTCACAAAGGTAGAGCATATTCCTGGGCCAAAACCTCACTTTAACCAATATAAAGGAATAGGAACGGTAACGGATATGTTTTTAATCTGAAAGCTTAAGACAGCATTAAGAAGATTTGGTGGATGAGGCTGGACTGCAGAATGTTCCAAATAAAGCTAGCCATATTACAAACGCATGACAAAAGAGAAGAAAAACAAGTCACTGAGGGCTGTGAGTAAAACAGGGCTCACCTACGTAACTTCAGAGGAGAAATTAGTCTGCAAGGTGGCGAATGGCAACAAAAGCTGTTGTGCAGGCATGGTGATCCACGTGGACCCATAATCCCAGCGACTTAGGAGGCTGTGACAGTAGGATCACAAGTTTGAGGGCAGCCTCAGTAACTTGGTGAGGTCCAAAGCAACACAGTGAGAACCTGGCTCCAAAGGAAGAGGGCTGGGGATCTGGCTCAGTGATTAAGCACCCCAGTGTCAAAACAGTCATCATTATCATAATAAAGCTGTTGCACTCCAATGAACTAACCTACTGCCCATGGGAATACAGGTTAACCAATCCGTGTACTTGCACATGTGCACTGGAATGAAATGACTATGGAAAGGGACGGTGGATGGGGGGAGGCAGAATTCTTACTGCTGGAAGGAGGTGTCCATAACAAAGTGGCAGAAGCAAGATTTCTGCAGATCATCATGGAATAGAACTGGGGAGATGGGCTTGGATTTCCATTAAGCTTACTATAGATGCTGAAGATAATATCTAATATGATATTCATAGCAATGTGTGTACACATGGGTTAGTAGGCACACAGAGATTTGCTTCTTTCAGCTGCAACAGCCTAGAAAAACACTACACCCAAGTTAGAACAAGCCTGGCTGATGCTCACTTTTGAGTTTCTAACACCACTTTCTAATGACTAGTGATGAAGAAATGGAGAAATGTCTGAGTCAAGAAACTTGGACAAGTGTAGGACCACAGCACATGGGAGGCACAGGGTTCAATCCTCAGCACTGGGTAAACATAAACAAGAAAATAATGGCATTCTATCCATCTACAACTACAAAAATATTTTAAAATAAAAAAGAACAAGAGGAGAAGGGGGAGGAGGAGGAGCCTGAAACACATGTAAATGTGTGATGCACAAGATAAGCCAAAGAGCAAGGAATGACCCAAAAAGTTACCACAACTGCAGGAAGACATCCACATAACCACGGAGGTACCGAAAGGGCTCCTGTTGCTCATGACTTGAAAATGTTAGCAAAAGGAGAAACAGTCATCGGTTGGGTTATAACCTGTGAAAGTACAAAATAAACAGTCATCAGAATAGAAACCATGATATAAAAGAATGATTTAATAAACAAGAAGCATAAATGGAGGAGCAGGGTTAGATTTTCCACACAGCACAATTCCAAAGGATGTGTGTACCAGGTCTATAAGGGTTACCTGCGACCTCTTCTCAAAGATTTCCTCTCCAAGAGCACAGTGTGGAAACATTAAAGGATAACTTCACTTTGGACGCATCTGGCAAACTCTACTTCAGCCAGGTGACCAAAGTCGAGTTCAATAACTGAAAACTTATGTGGATAGTATGCACCCTTGTAGGATCAGACCGCAATGGCTTTTTGCTGTTGCCGTGTTTCTCCCACAGCTCACATCAGTTCACTCATGAGCCAAACTTCAAAATATCCTCATGGAGGATATGCTTCAAAGGGCCTTCGGAGTCACCCTCAGTACTCTCAAGCATAGCAAAGTGAACAACAACTGGGCAATGGTCACAGCCAAGAGGGGCTGAAAGCAACAGGAAAGCTAAATATATTGTGGTGGCCTGGCTGGGTTCTTGGATCAGAAAAAGGCTCAAATGTTAGAACCGAGAGAGCAGGAATAATGCTTGCACTCTGGTTTCTTCTGCCTCTGGGTAACCACCACCAGGGAAGAGTTGGAGCCACCAGAGCCACCACAAGAAGAAATCACACAAGAATGCCACTGCAACAATTCTGAACACTATCTTTCTAAGGAGCCTGAACCTAAACATGGATGCCTGGACCTGCATGCTAGTAGTAAAGAAGGCTTCTGGCTTCAAAATTAAAAGATTCGATGAGGCTCCAAATACAATGACTCCTGATACAATAGCTGAAACATCTTGAAGAGAAGTCGAAATGACCCCTTATATCAAGAATAAGGGACATTGCCAGTCTAATGAGAAAACACTATTCACTGGTACCAGCATAGAGCAGAATCAGATGTGGCACTGGCCTGACAAACATTTTAAAGAACCCATCATAAAAGTACTTCCTAAGCCAATTACAAAGAGTCTAGAGGGATGTGGCGGGAATATAAGGAACTCAGTAATAAACAGAATTTTTTGACAGAAACTAAGGAACAGAAGAAATGCAGTCATGGAAATTTGGAAACATCGCTGGATTGGCCCAACAGTGGGATAGAGATAAGGAAGATCCTATTTGTACACTTGTGGTCTGATCGGTAGAGTTCCTCTATCTTAACCGTAAAGATATAGACTGAATGAACAAGTGAGCAGACCCTCAAGAATTTAGGATGGCAACCAAATTCTAACATCCCACGATCAAACTTCCAGAGAAGGAGATGTAGCTGAAAGAGCATTGTAAGAAACACAGGCTGCTTAGGACACTGCCTTCTGGCAGCCTGCTGCTTGTCTCTCAGTACACCATCTCTGCCCAACCTGGGCCCAGGGCAGATGCTGGTAGGCGGGCGGTTTCCTCACCTCAGACAGAAAAGGAGGTTTCAGAGCCTGACGTGCCTGGGGTCAGTGGCATCAGAGCCCTGAGAGGTGCTTTTACATCTGGGCATCCATTTGTCACAGGAGGCTACTGAGCACCTGCAATGTGGCTGGTTAGAACTGAGATCTTAAAATACAGAAAGACTTTTGTAGGGTTCCTACCAAAAAATGTATACTTAAGTAGTTATTTCCTGTTGGCCACATATGAAATTGACAATATTGGGCTATATTTCCTCATAAATTTCTACCACTGATTTTGAAAAAGAGAGACACACAAGAAATTTGGGCTGGAAATGTCCAAAATTTGAGGAAGAACATACAAAACAAAATAAATGAAGTACACACTGACATGTGTAGATGAATCCATGGTGAGATATATCAAAGTTCATCTATTGAAATTCCTACAAACACTGAAAGGGACAAGAAAAAAAACTGACACATTGATGAGGGGCGGTGACACTGATATGAAGCACTGCAGATTTCTCATGGAGCTCTGGAGCCTATTAGGAAGTGACAAAACCATTTTCACCTGTTGGACAAACAGTACTGTCGAAGGAGAATTTCACATGCAAGCATACTCTTTCCGGCCTGAATGGGAAGCCAAGACAGGAAGCGGAAAGCAAAGGGATGTGCAGAAAGAGTGACTGAGTTGTGTGCTGAAATAGGAAAAGGAAATCATGAAAGGAGGCAGCTAAGAGTAAGAGAAATGAATGAAGAGCAGTAGAAGAAGCATCCCCAAGGGACAGACCTTAGGCGAGCCTTTTCCTTGTGAATTGTGAATGACCAAAACCCACATGACACACCCAACCTACGACTGAGACTATTTTGTTCACCAGTGAGGGAGGCCCACATCCCCAATGGACCCCTGATTTCCAGAGTTCAACTGACTGCGGATTGAGGACTCAGTCAAGTCAAGGCCAGAGCAAACCCTGACAAAATATTCAACAGCCACACACTCAAACGTGATTCAAAAACAAAGACAAACCTCAAAAAGTGTTCAAGTAAACCAGAGAAAAGCAGGAGAGGGGTAGAAAGAGGGATGAGATACAGAGGAAAGCAAAGAAGCCAACGGAGGTACTTAGACACTGGCATTGGAGCAAATATTATCAGGTGACTGAGCTAAACCCATCACTTAAAATTAAGGCAGATATGGGCCAAGTCTATCAAAACCGACCTAATTTCACATCATGTTTGCATGAGGTTCATTTGCACTTCAACAGTATAGGTCAATGCATTCAAAGAGAGTACAGACAGCCACATCATGCACACATGAATCTACAAAGCTGAAATGGTACAGTCATATGAAAACAGACTCCATCGCAAGGAAAACTAGTAGAGGCAGACAGAACCCACCCTGCAGGCAGACAGCAAAAAAAAAAAGTCTTTCCAGATCTGGCCCCTCTCCTCCACACCCAGCTGGTGGGCTTGAGACCACCTGTGTCTCCCCGGGGGCTCTCTCTCTGGTCCCTGTGGGAGAAATCACGACCATATTTTGGTTCCTAGTTTGGTGTAACTGACTCTAAAAGAGTGCTAGAGTTTGGAGGCTGAATACTCCTCCCTGTGCGCAGAAGCCCTGGGGGACCCCACACGTGTCTGCTGAACCACCTCCTTCCCACTGAGTCTCTCAGGGAGCAGAGGCTGTTTTGATAGGGTCAAGGGAAGGGTCTCTTGACATCACACTCAACAAGTGGCCAATCCTGCAGGTGCAGCCAATGAGGTTGCTCAGAGACTGCCTGGGAAATGAGGGGCGGTGGGCACCCACTCAGAAGACTGCAGGCGCCATGGGCAGAGCAAGGCAAAGAGCCAACGCTCAGCGGCGGAAGCAAAAGCGTCCCGGGGATCCTCCAGCCACCTGCGCAGCTGTCGCGGTCATGGGCGCGAGCCGCGCGCGGTGCCCACCTGTCCAAGTCGGGGTCGGGAGCCAGGCGGCAGGCAGGGAGCGCGCGGCAGCCAAGCGGCGGCGGGGAAAGGCGAGGCGCAAGCGCTGGTGGCGGCGGGTCCGGGAGACCGGCGCCAAGAATCTGCTGCTCCCGCCGCAGCTGCGGAACCAGCGGGGCCCCGCGCCCACCCCAGCGGCCCCCGCCACGTCCCCGGGTGAGCTGGACCTGGGCGCGCAGCGCGAGCGCTGGGAGGCGTTCCGCAAGCTGCGGGGCCTGAGCTGCGAGGGTGCCGCCAAGTTCCTGCTGGACACCTTCGAGTTCCCGGGCCTGGTGTACCACACCGGGGGCTGCCACTGCGGCGCCGTCCGCTTTGCGGCCTGGGCCCCTGAGGATCTGCACGTGGTGGAGTGCAGCTGCAGGCTGTGCAAGAAGAAGCAGCACCGCCACTTCCTTGTCCCCGCCGAGCGCTTCACGCTGCTGCAGGGCGCCGAGAGCATGGTCACCTACCCGTCCAACACGCACCCGGCGCTGCACAGCTTCTGCAGCAGGTGCGGGGTGCAGAGCTTCCACGCCGCGGAGTCCGACCCACGCGTGTATGGCGTCGCCCCGCACTGCCTGGACGCGGGCACGGTGCGCAGCATGGTCATCGAGGAGGTCGATGGTGAAGCTTGGGAACAGGAGACCACCGAGGAGGACGACGATGACTATGCCATGCAGAACGCGTCCATCGAGATGGCCCCTGCCTGTCCTGGCCAAGAAGAGCTGTGAATGAGGTCGCCGACATGCTGAATCCAGTGTGCGGGTGGGGTCCCCTCCAGCCAACCCCTGCAGCACTTGGGGAAACAATCCTTCTCCCCCGTGTGCAAGCTACCTGTCCCTCTTTCCCCCTTCCCCTCCAGTTCTGTTCAAGGGACTTTCTCTGAATCCAGAACTTGAGCACACACCCCTTCTTCTGTGTGCAATGATCACCTTGACATCTAACAAGCAAGTAGTGTCTCCACGTTTTCAAGTCTACTCTTCCATCACTTGGTTGTGCCATTCGTCCTGAAGGATCCCCACATGGCTGGTGGGAATCCCTTGTACTGTACGTTTCTGGTGCTATTGTGAACAGGCTTGTGTGCAACACGTGCATTTTAGTGTGCTGGGCGGCTACATCCCAACACTTTTGTGAACACTTACAGGACGTTCTCCCCGGGTTTCCTGAGCGTTTGTGTTTTAGGTGGACACCTTTCCACTACTTAGGGAAAGCTGTTGCTTTCAGCCACGTTGTTTATCTAGTGTGTTTGAAAATAGCATGTCTTGAAATTCGATATTACATACCTCATCACACTCAGTTCTCCAATGATGCTACTCTGTTGCTTGGTTTTGTGTTAGTGACTAACTGCTGGGAGGGGATGGGGAGAGAGGATTGAGAGGGATGACCACCCCCTTGGATCTTTCAAAGTACCCACCTTGTACATGTGTTAAGTGTTCAGAAATTAATAGATGTTTATAAATGTGAAATTGTGTTTGTTGATCTCTACCCAGAATAGGATTTGGCAGTGGGGAAATTGGGGCTGTTGAACAAAGTGGGCCTCTGTGAATGTCAAAGATGGTGGTGTCTCTCACTCTGCAGCAAGCCAAAATTCCCCAAGGGTCCCCTAAAGTTTGGATGAGGGGAATCAGCAGAGTGTTTGCGCATTCAGCCTCTGGGGACACACTGTCTGTACTTGAATCTAGTCTCTGCCACCTATTGGGTAGGTCACTTGTGTGCAGTTCCCTAAGTGATGGGATCAAGTCCCAGTGTTCTCATATTCAGGGCAAACCTGGTGCCAAGCATTGGATACCTTATCCATGAATACCCCGTTTCTCTTCTCAGCTGATGGGAACTCCTGTCAAGTCCCCTGGGCCATAAAAAACTCTTGTTTGTCCTCTTCTATGGTGGGGTGGTAGGAAAACTATAAACAAATTCAATGAAATAACTTAAGGAAGGATGAGATTAGGGTATGAGGATGTGCAGGAGGGTCAGATGGCTTTGTGCCTTCAGTGGAGGCCTGTCCTAGGCCCCTACTCCCCCCCCACACACCCAGTGACTCTTGCCTCAATAACAAATGGCCCCCAAGATAGTCCATAACATGGCAACCGTTTAGTATACGCATGGCATTTCAAAATCAGGAACTGAGAAAAGACACAGGGCAAATGACTTTTTTCATATGATGTCTGTGACCCCCTTTGAAAAAGCCTGGCCTGCTATGCCTGGATTCATATGAAGGCTCCTTGACTGACAGTCCTGGTGGCCTTGTGGACAGGACTGAAGGATGGGTTGGAACAGGAAGTGGAGTTCCTAACTTTCACCTCGTGGTGGCATTCGTTTTCTTCTGAGCATGGCAGGCCTCTCTGTAGTCAGGCCTCATATGTGATGACTCAGACCCTGAGGGGTGGGGGTTTCAATAAGAAAGGTGATTGTTGCATCAGCTCCTGTGATGAAGCCTCAGAACTCATGGTGAGTCACTCCTGTCATACTCTATTGATTAGAAGTGAGTCAGGAGCCCTTTCACATTCAAGTGGGATAATAAGAATTACATCTCTCAGTGGGGGAGGTGGCAGGCGCTATTTATAACAATATGAAATGGGAGACGTTGCTGTGGACATTTTCAGAAAATACAGTCTTGCACCTGTGGACTTCTAGGTAGCAGGTTATTTGGGGCTGCACGGCTGCACCCCTAACTTTTTGCAAAGTTCACATACAGCTTATGCACAATTTTATGGATGACTTAAGCCTTAAGGGAAAATAGGCCTGGTTATACCCCCTTCTCTGGGCAAGAACAAACCAGTGTGTGATTGATGGTCCAGAGAATAATGTGGCGGGGAAAACAACTGTTCAGTCAGTCTTCAAGTTGACCTTGGAAATGCCCTAAGACACAGTCCAGTGTGCTAAAAGCTACATCAAGGAAATACATCTTGCTCTACCCACTGGGGAGGTTTCACCTGTTGGGAGTAGCATATATTGGAGTGCTTTTGCACGGTGGCACAGACCATCCCTTCTGCTCTCCCTTCTAAGCATTCATGCATTCCTTCTTTCCTACCACAAACATTTACTGAGGATTTGCCACCGGCCAAGTACAATGTGAGAAGTGCTCCAGGATACGGTATGAAGTAAATCAAGTAATAATGCCGAGTTGCCAACCTTTTAGACAGACATGCAACTTTGAGTTAGGTGTGCACACATGAGAGGTAATCGGGGTTTCTTAGTCTGAGCGCCCCAGAAAGCACGCACAACATCAGACCTGTGAGTGGCTGAGTGAATGACAAGACGTGTGATCAGAGGTCCTAGGTCATTTCCTAAGAACTTTGCTTGGCTCTCTCACAGAATGCCATAGAAGAGGGAACTGTGGTGTCCCCCACAGTAGACTAGAAGGGCCCGCACAGCCCAAAAGACACAGGGACAAACTCTTGCTGTCTGTACCAAAGGCATCTACAGAATGAGCTCCATAAGAAAGTGTGTGTTCTTTTCTGGCAAGTGTCCAGGACAGTCTGAATTAAGGAAATTCCCATGTGTACTATATGGAGAGGCTTTGACTGATAAATGTAGTGTTATTTCTTCAATTTCCCTGGACAGATACAGTATTTTCCTAATTAAGTGTGCTCAACAATGAAAATTCATATCATGAATCCAAATGGAAATCAATATCACTGGTCATAGCATAGAACCTCATTAAATGAGATGAGTAAGTTGATCTTTACACCCAGTTTTGAAATGAATCATTTCAAAATCATGAAAATGAAAAAGGTGACGCATGTCTGAAGACTCTCCCGTCAACAAGCACCTCAATCTCTTCTGTTAATTAATTCTCACCTAAGCCTTTCAGAGCACATTTTTTTCCTTTAGGGTACTAGGGATTGGACCCAGGAATGTTCAAGCACAAAGCCACACCCTCAGCCCCTTTCCACTTTTTATTTTTAGACCAGACCTCACTAAGATTCTGAGGCTGACTCTGAATTTGCGATCCTCCTGCTTCATCCTCCAGAGCTGCCGGGCTGATGTGCATGTGCCACCACACCTGGCATCAGAGCACATATTTTTAAGCAGGCTTTATCGACTTTGACACTGTGTCCTGAGAACAGAAGCACTAAGCGCATGGATTCCAAACTGGTGTGTGGCACAGGGAAGGAAAACAAGAGCTACTGCCTGCCAGATTCTTTAAGGACGGCAGGAAACATTAGTTCTCAAGTATTTCTACCCCACTCATTCTGATCCTTGCCCCCTTTTCCATAGGTCCAACTCACTTCATGGATCTAGCTTTTCTTCACGCCTGAGGCAATTCACTGTTCCTTAGTGAATCCTGGCCCATCGTCCCAGCATCCTCTCCATTGACTTTGGCCTCCTTTAAAGGTCTGAAATGGGAGCTGAGCTTGTGGCTCTGTGGGAGAGCAATTGCCTAGCATGTGCGAGGCCCTGGGTTCCACCCCAGCACCACGTAAAAGTAAATAAAATAAGGATATTGCATCTAACTACAACTAAAAAATGAATATTTTTTAAAAATCTGAAATGTTAGTGTTTTGGACATTTTGAGACCTCCAACATTCTTATTCCATATGTCCATATATTTGGCTCTGTGACCACAAAAACCAGCATGATAGTTTGGATCACACTTGTTTGGAGGAAAGAAGCTTTGAACAGACTTCCCCAGGGGCTCTTGGACAAGTCTGCCAGTTGTTGCTCTTTGAATATGGAACATCTTCACACACCTGTGTTCATGTTCCCCATGAGAGGTGAGTGAGGCAAGGCATGTAAATAGGTAAATGGGCCCAGCATCCTGCAGCCATGTGGCTCAGTGGTTAAGTGCCCCTGTTCGATTTCCGGTACCAAGAAACAACAAGAAAACCAAAAACTAAACAGAACAACAACAACAACATTGAGGGTGAAGCAGTTCAGAGGATAAGGATATGGCACACAAGCATAAAATCATAGGAATGGGAAAATATGGCCTTCTTGATGCTTGTTATGGTTCCTCTTTTCAAAACCCTCTCATGTTCCGAACTTTTGCATGAGAAGCTCGAGAGCGTCTTGCATTTCACACTCTTGAAGGGGGCATTGGTAAGTAAAATCAGATCCTAGGAGAACACATGGAATGTACACACAGTGTGAAACCAGTCAATAAACAACTGTGGGCCATGTTTCCCCCATTGGTAAAGTAGTCCCAGAATGTTAGATCTCCTAACTAGGGCAGATTTTTAAGTGAAGTGATAAAGACCATAGAACTCCTTGCCCTGATGCTTCAATGGTCAGCAGGAGCCATTTGTCACCATTAAGATTACTTATATTATTGTTACAAGAACTTTGGACCCAATGTAAATAGGCCCTGCCAGTTCTGCAGGACTGAAAGGAAAGTAAGCCTAGGAGTTTCCCCAAGACCTTTGCCCTATGCCACCTGGAGAGAGATTGAGATTCTCTCTTTAGGACTTAGATTTAGAGATTCCACCTGCAATACCTGAGACGTGGCTCTGATATCCTAGTATAGTCTCTGTGCTCTCCATAATGTACAATGCTGGTACCCAGAAACCAGGCACAGTTGGATGGGATGATGTCATCACTGTCCCTCACTTACAGTAATGGATTTAGGTGAGTGACATTTGTTTTCTCAGCTAAGGCTGTAGAAGCTGGAACCAACTGTGCACCATGATCACAAGGTAACATGAGAGCATCTGGACACAGCTGGGATGGGCAGAAAGTTCTGGATGGAGAAACCCAAAATGGTGACCTCCTGGTCTCTGGGACAATCCCTCATCATCAGAAGGTGGCAGTTTCCTATCATCAGAAACCCCAATGAGCATGTCCCCAGCCTCAGAGGGATGGCACACTCAGGATCCTCACCTCTTTGGTAAGAGTTTCAGGTCTCACCTCCAGGCACCACAGTGTCCCACAGGAAAAGACAGACTACCTTTCCTCAGCCCATCCTCCTAGGGATTAGGAAAACTTTCTCTGCAAACACTCTGATCCAGATTCTACTTGCAACTTTCTTTTCCTGACCCTCAGCACCATGGCGCTAAATTTGGGCTGGGCATGGTGGCACAAATCTGTAATTCCAGCTGATCAGGAAAATGAGGCCAGAGATTTGTGAGTTCAAAGCCAGCCTCAGCAATAGTGAGGTGCTATACAACTCAGCAAGACCCTGTCTTGGAATAAAATATAAAATATGGCTGGGGTGTGGTTCAGTGGTTGTGTGTCCCTGAGTTCAACACTCAAAAAAAAAAAAAAAAAAAAAAAAAGATCTTGCTAAAAATTTGGAAGATCAGTATTTTATGAAGTTTGCATTCCTCCTCTAGGCCCTTGTCATTCTGGCTGCAATTGAAGGAAATATAAGAGTTATCCTTTCATATGAATGAACAAAGAAAAGTAGACAACACACATGAAACAATGATTTCCAAGAGATTGGATACAAAGCAGTCAATGGGGGTGAC